GTCTTTGTCTATTTGGTGCTTGGGCACAGTGGCTTCCTAGAGCAGGCAGTGGGTTCCCTCTGCTTCCACTTTCTGGACACCAACTTTACAAAACTCGTGGTTATGCTTGCTAGAGTTTCTCTAAGTACTGGTCCTGGGTGCCAACAGTCGTACCCAGGACCTCATGCATGCTAGAGAGACTACAGCTCCATGCTCAGCCAAGCAGTCTATGTTTGTTTAGATTTCTAAGATGGTTTTGAAGATTTTTTGCTTCTTCTTGTGATGTGGGCTTAACGGCTTTTTGTTTTAGTTTTGCTAAGCTGTGGAAAAATCTGTACTGCAAAGTCTTCCAAGCTTTTGTTAAGAACGCAGTTCAGGGCCGTGAGCACCGTCACACTCTTCTATGGCCATCACCTCAGGGCATTGATTTTTGAAGACTATCAGTTTTGGGGCAGGGATATGTCCAGTGGCATAAGCTCCTGCCTGGCAAGCACAAGGTCCTGAGTTTAATCCCTGGTACCGGAAAAAAAAAAAAAAAAGCACTATGGATTTTATTAAGCACCTCTCATTCAAAAAGCACGAGCAGAAGAACCAAACCTGGATGCTGCAGCATCAGAGCTCGCTACGTATCTGATTGCATGAAGAATGTATCATTCTATCCCACTCCACAGCAGCGGCTTCAGATGACGGAAATTGAGAACAGCGGGCAAGGGCTTGGGCTCCTGCTGGCACATGCAAGTGGACGTTTGCAGGGAGGGCATCGCTCCCTACGCTCACTGAAGGACACGCTTCCTGTTGGGGTCCCCTTGGCACAGGTGGGTAAGTAAGATGGCTGCTGGGTGGTCCAAGGGGCTCCCCGAACGGGAAGCTTCTGGCCAAATTTGGCCTGTTACACCGCACTGTCCCCTTGTGCATACTTAACTGTCTACAAAATGTCAAATGTGGATCATTTCCTTCCTAAAAATGTTTTCTACTGGTGTTGTACACACCAAGGAAGTCATAATTCTGAGAACTCTCAGTGTTACTGTTGAGTCCTTGGGCCTTTGAGCAGCATTAAGTGTGAAGCTTAAGGTCTGGAAATATGTTATACTGTGCATGTGGGAGTCACCTGCCACTTCTCTATGTTCTGAGAAATGCTGGACCCTACAACAGACCAGGCCCCCTGCTTACAGTGTGGTGTGCAGAATTCCACAGTCCTCTGGGCTTAAGAATGTGCTAGAGGCCAGATGTGGTGGCCCACACCTGTAATTCCAGCACTTGGGAGGCTGAGGCAGGAGGATCTTTGCTAGCTGAGACCAGCCTGGGCTACAAGGGGAGCTCAGGGCCAGCCTAAACTGCATAGCCAGAACCTGTCTCAAAAAGAAAGAAAAAAGAATGGGCTAGAACACTGCAAGGTGGGCACTGAACATCCAGGTCAGGGGAAGTGTGTGTGTGGACAAGGAGGAGGGACCTGCAGTGGAGGCCTCACCCTGAGGACCAGCTGGTGAGCTGCCCGGGGCTCCTCCCAGGCACACAGCGGCCGCACAGTTCTCCTTTCCTGGTTCTTCACCTACTTGAAGTTCTCCGGGACCTCTCCCATTACCTACAAGAACACCAGCGCTCCACGTTCCCCACACTTTCCGCTTAGGCCTGGAGGTCTGGCCACTGGGACATCGAGATTCCTTTCTTCCTTACTCCCCTCCCCCTCAGTCACCCTTGGGACAACTGGTAGGGAACAAGTCCACAGAGCCAGCCACAGAGTGAGTTTCCTCTGCTGAAGATGCAGTTGAACTCTGTGCTGAGAAAATGGGCTCTCAGCAGGTTCCAGGACAGGGGTGGGGGTGGGGGTGGGTGGGGAAGCAGTAAGGGATTTGTATGGAAAACTTAAGATCTTAACTGGAAAATACTGTTACAGCCAGGGGCACATTAGAATCACTCAAGAACTTAAGAAAGAAGTGAAATGAAATACCTGGCCCCACTCTAGAGATTTGGTTTTAATCTGCCTAGGGAGGCCCCAAGAAAGCTACTCTAAAACTCCCCAAGAAGTCGGCTCAGGGCGGGGACCACGGAACCAACAGGCACAGCAGATACAGTGCCTGGACCCAGGGCAATTTGCTTGTTCTGAAGTTATGGGATGGGGGACACTTTTATTTTATTTATTGTTTTATGCATTTAGTACAGGGTCTACAGGGTCTCACTACACAATTGGACTCGTAGTGCTTCTCCTGTTTTCAGCCCCCCCAAGAGCTGGGCTTACAGGCACATGCCACCACGCCCAGTCTCAGTTGAAGTTTCAGCATGCCCCTCTGCTTCCTTTGAGGATAAGGGGTCCAAGTCTCAGTGGGAGAGGGAAGGAAAAGAACTACAGAGGGTAAGAGGGAGACCAGGAAACCTTAATTTATGCATCATACTTTGAAGGAGACGGGCTGCAGGATGCGGTTTCCAAGGTAAGGCATCTATTCTCCTCAGGGTTGGTCACACCTCTTTTCTTCTAAGTCCGTTGTCCTAGAAACCCCTGAGAGGTACTATAAGTCCATAAATTAGCTTAGTAGATAAGGTAAAGAGCAGATGCCAGATCTTAAGACAAAGGAAGAGATTAAGAGAGTTCAAAGAATGTTTTTAGGCACATCTTAGACCACGGCTTCAGGGCCCTCCTTTTTCCTTAAAACAGACCATCATCTCTCTGTGTGTTGGCCACTTTTTTTTTTTTTTTCAAGACACGACTTCCTGTAGATTCACAAATTCCACAGCTTTCCCCTGCCAAACACACATAAATATTTCCAGCTCACCCGGTGAAGTGCCTGCACTCTGTTTCTGAGTGTGTACTTTTAAAATTCTGGCCAATAAATCCTTTTAAGCCTCTTTTGATAAATGACTTTCACAGAAGGGAGCGGGTGGCATGGGGCGGAGGTGTCAAGCCCACGGTGGGCAGCGGAGGGGTGCTGGGCTCAGAGGCGGTGGAGGGCAGGAGGAAAGTGGTGGAGGGCCGGAGGAAAGCGCTGTGCAGGCCCACACACCCTGCGAGGAACTCCTGTTTCCTATAGCTAGAGGGCAGAAATCTACTTTTGCTTCAAATTGTGAAAGGGCCTGTATTACTCTGCAAGGCTCTGGCTCTCCTCCATGTGTTTATTGGTGATGTGAAATTAGGGAAATCGTGACTTTTCTGCACCTCAAATACCTCATCTGCAGAATGGGGCTAAGAACTGCCTGGTGGGATGAGGATGGACCTTCAGGCAGAGCGCCTACTGCAGGGCACTCCCTAACTTCTATCCCAGCGCCACAAAACACCTCCTGGGGTCCTCAAACTAAGCTGAGGGCCCTGGATATAGCTCAGGGGCACAAATGCTTGCCTGGCAAGCACAAGATCCTGAGTGCAATTTCTGGTACAAAACAAAAAACAAAACAAAACAAAACAAACAAACAAAAAAACCAAACCTACACGCTGTATACGAAGCTCTTCAAGTCATCCAGGACCTTCCGGGGCCTCCCGTGGGCGCTAGCAGGGCCACCACCGGTGTGCATTTCAGCCTGCTCTGGAGCAGGCTCGCAGGCTCACAGCCTCACACCTGCGCCGCAGCTGATGGAGAGGCCGAGTCCACGCGACGCGCGGGAAGACTGCGGCGGCTGAGGGCCAGCAGTGTGTCGCGGGAGCTGCTCCTCTCTACAGCCGCGGGTGGGAGGGCGGGCGGGAGCGCTGTCGCCTGCCGTGCTGCCAGGGCCGGGCCTGGAGCTCCGGCTGCTAGGAGCCGCCGCCTTCGCTTCTGTCTTCGGGTCCTCACTCCTGCTTCTGGGGTCACCTCGGGAACACAGAGCCCGCTGCGTCTCACAGCGCGAGCCGAATGCCCTGCTCGCTGCCCCACCGCAGCCCCCGGCCCCCCAGCGCGCGCCTCCTCCACCAACCGCGCAGACCATTTGTCATCTTGTGCCCGGCGTGGAGCGCAGGGCTGGCACCACCCTCCACCCTCCAAACCCGGTCTCCGAAGCGCGCGGGGCCGGCCGGGGTCTCAGGACGCGCAGACCCCGCGCCTGCGTGTGCTCCTGCGCCGCGCACACCAAGTACTCTCGGACCGCATTTGCCGGCCGTACTCAAAATCCAGAGAGGTGACTTTCCTTTTGGCAGATCGCTGCCTTTGACTGAAACTATCTTTCAGGTTCAACGGGGCTGCAGTTAACCGGGGATTTGCATCGGAATGAAAACCAACGAGAAGACGCTTCCTAGAACTCCAAGCTTTGCCTGGAAATGCTTGAGGCCGAGATGCGCCAACAGCCGCACCAGAAGTGATTGCTCCGAGAAGCAGGCCTCCGCAGGGTCTCGCGTCTCGCTACTCCCTGTATTTGTGCTTTAAATTTCCTTTACTAGCAACTGTTTGTATTCACGCACCCTAGAGTCACCGGCGAGGGGCCGCGCGTTACCCACGGCGTATCTGTCTGGAGAGCTGGGGGTCACACGCTGAGCGCGAGCTTTTCCCAGTTTGCTCAGTTTACATTTTCTGCAGGCCGGCAGCTCTCGGGCTGGCTCTGGCCACCCACAGACCGCCGCGGCAGCCCCGGGCGCCCACGCGCGCCCCTGCCGCCTCCTCGCGGGGCGCGGTCCCGCGCACCACCCTCTGGTCCACCCGCGGCCCCCAGGTGGGGTCAGCAGCGCCCCGACCCTCGCGCCTCTGCCCTGGCTCCTGCCCCGCGCGGCCTGGCGCTCCCCACTCGGCGCTGTGCCCTCAGCCTCGCCCTCGCGGGTCCCGCTGTCCCGGGTGGGCTCGCTGGAGCCTCTCTCTCGCCTCCGTCGCCCCCGCCCGTGCCGTCGGCCCCGTGGGGGCTCCGAGGGGACCCCGATGTTTCCGGCGGCAGGAGGCGCCTCCCCGCGTGTCTTGGGGGCTCTTAGCGGGCGCCCCGCTCCTCGTTTCAGGGCAAACTGAGGCTAGTGACGAGGTCGGTTCCCGCGGGTGGGCTCGATCCCAGCGCCCGCGCCTCCGCCCGCGACCTTGGCGGGGTCAGCGCGGGGCCGGGCGGGCGGGCGAGGGGCGGCGCCGCCAGCGTCTGCTCCTCCCCGGGGCGGGCGCCTGGCTCGGGTCGGCTGGAGGCGCTGGTCGGGCCAGGGCGGGGGAGGACGCGGCAAGCGGTGAGTGCGGGCGGACGCGGGTGGGCGCGGACTCTGGTGGGCGCGGGGGGCTCCCCGGCAGGGCGCGGGGCGCAGGTGCGACTCCCCACGCGTCCGCACAGCCCCGCGCCCCGCCTGACCCTCGCCGGCGCGGCTGGGCCAGCGTCCGGGGACTTTTCCAGGTCGCCCCGCCATCTGGCTCACGCCGTGGCGCGGCTGCCACGCTGTTGGCCACGCGGAAGCTTAAAACTTCGCACCCCGCGAGCACCCCGCGCCGACGCACGGAGTTGCGCTGCCAGCCGGGCGCACAGCCGGCTCGGCCGCACTCGGGAGCCAGCCCCAGACGCAGCCCCGCGGTCGCGACCCGGAGGCGGCCGGGTGCCCGCGCTCGCCCGCAGAGCCGGTCGGTCCGCCTAGCCGGCCTTGGGCGCAGACGGTGCCCTTGTAGAACCTCCTTTGTGTACAGTAAATACTACCCTGGCGGTGTCCACAGACCTGGGAACGAGGCGGCCTTTCCAGGGTCAAGGTTTTAACGCGGAGAGCGCGTGAACGAGAACCAAGCGACTGGATTTGTGTTTGGAAAGGCTCTCAGCGTGAAAGGAGCAAAACAGGACTCAGGTCCTGGAGGAACCCCGCAAGGGTCTTGGCACAAATGCGGGGAGTCCTCCTTCCACAAGCACGGCTAATGAGAGCCCGAAGAAGGTTCGATGGCCAGTGTTGGTGCTGGTGTGTGCATGTGTGAGTTACAGTGTTCTCGCGGGTGTGATGGAGCCCCGCAGGTGTAACAGCGCGCCTTGCTTGGTAGAGCAACACCCCAGTCGTGAAATCCTTAGCGCTGTAAGTGGCGAGCGCTCCTGAGGCCGGATGGGCACCGCCAAGACAGCTTGCAAATAAGGGGACGGGGAGCGCGCTGTACGTTTGTGCTGAGTTCCATCTGCCTCACTGAGAAGTGTTCTCATTTTTGTTATTAACACGGGTGGTCTTTTGGAGCTCAGTGAATTCACTGCTGCGGGAGGCGACTTTCCTGCTGGGCTGTGGGCTGCCCGCTGCCACCTGGCCACAGAGATTTTTTTCTTTTCCCTGAGGTGCTGGCCGGATCCCTGCATTTCTTAGCAGTGGAAACACATCTTCTCAGCAGTACCCTCCACAGCTAGAGGGCAGTTTGTGTTCATTTCCAGCCTGTAACACTTTTTTATGAGGAAGGTATACCCAGGATGGAACTCAGGACCTTGTGCTTGCCAGACAGGCATTTACATCACTGAGCTATCTCCTCGGCTCTACTTTGAATTAAAATTACTTGGCTTTGCCTGTTGGTGTTTCTCTTCCCCCTTCCTTCCACTACCAGGGCCTCTTGTGTACTGAACAGCCAGAGTGTGACCTTGTGGGTGGGGATCTTAATTGTCTGGTGCTGGCCTGGGGACAGGGCCATGGGCCTGTGTGGCCCCTGGGTGGCTTCTGATCGGAACCCTCACCCTTTGGGGAAAAGGTCTTATGGAAAATATTTTCTTGTTGATTTTTTTGTTGGTATTTTGTTTGGTTTTGCTTTATGGACCAGCTGACAAAATGAAGCATGTTATTGAAAGGTTTGTGAAATTGTGAATCCTGTCTCAAGTTTTGGGGAAAACATTTATTTGTGGATGCAGAGCACCTTCGGTATCTGACAAGCTCACCTGCATGGCAGTGTGTGAACCCCTTAGAGGCTGAGGTGCACCTGAATGTGGACCTACACAGATTCAGGGAGACATCTCTGACTTCGGGGTAGCAGTGGTAAGCGTGGTGGTGTCCTCCTTCATCCCAGCATTTGGGAGGCTGAGGCAGGACGATTGCCAAGAGTTCAAGACCAGCCTGAACTACATCGTGAGACCCTGTGTCTAAAGAAAAAAAACAAAAAACAAAAAACAAAAAAGTAATTAGAAGAAAATAAGTAGAGAACAGGAAGAGAGAGTTGGTCAGGGGCTTCTTAGCACATTCCTGCCAGCTGGAGCCAGCAATGGTGTGTGTATCTGTGCCTTCGAGGGATGGGACGGTCATGCATAGATGGCCCTGCTGTGCCTGTGATAATTTGGGGAATGGGTGTGTAGTCCCAGTACGCAGACGAGGCCATTGGCTTGTGCCAAGGATTTATATCCAGCTTAGATTGCCGTGGTACTGGCTTCCTCTTCTTGGGAGGGGGGCTTCGAGTTGATTAGCTGGCACTGATAGGGTGAGGAATAGTTAATGGTTAGCTCTTTCCCTGAATCTCATTTATCCAGAGCTGTCACTGACCTTTTCCAAAGCCCAGCTAGTCTGCTCTCTTTCTTTCTTTGCCTGCTCTGGTGTTAAAGGGCAGAGGAATGGCTGAGGGGTTGGCATCAGAGAAAAGCAAAGTTCAAGGGGAATGGGAAGTTGGGTAATTTTCCCGAATGACACAGCACTTGCTGTATTCGGGCACACGACATTGCCGCTACGGTGAAGTGAGTTGCTCTGCTTCCTGGCCACCGTGAGCTAAGCAGCTCTGCCCCCGCCATGGTGACCTGGCCTGGGAGCGGCTGACCGTGCGCCGAAGCCTCAGCACCTGCGAGCAGGCTCAGCCTCTCTTCCTGCAAGCTGTGGACGTCAGCTGTGTGTCCCAGCCAGGGAACATGATGGGTACAGAAGCCCTTCACCACCTTTCCTCACTCACAGTCCCATGCTCTCATCTCATGCCAGCGTCCCTGGGAGAAGGAGCGCTTCTTAAGTTCACACCAGGGATTTCTGTCTAGTTTCTTTCTTCACTCTGAGCATACTGCCTGCTGAGTTCCTGGTTAGAACAGGCTCCCAGCTGGAAGAGCCTGCGCGGGTGGGGCTTGTGCGCCATGGCTTGCTGGGAGTGGGGAGCTCAGGATGGACAGGCTTGCTGGGCACTGTGGGCACCGCTAGCCCTGGGAAGAGAGACGCCTCTTCAGTGCATTGGCTAGCGGGTGTCTGAAGCACCGTAGGTCTGAATTAGTTATCTCATGGAATCCCTGAACTAAGTGTAAAACAACTGATGGTGAGAATTTTTCTAGCTTGAGGATAGAGAAGGGGTTTGCGGGGAGGTGGGGCTCCATAGGGACAGTTTGCTGGAGGAGTCTGGTGTGTGGGTCTCTCTGGGCTGCGGCTGGCAGGGCATGTGGCAGGGCCATGTCTACAGCGGCAGCTCAGTTTGCTCGGCTGCCTCTGCAGAGTGGTTTGGTTTTGTCCATGACTCCAGCTCCCAGGCTGACATTTACGCCTGCCACACCACTGCTGTGTCAGCTTGGGCCTCCGTGGCCCCTTGGGAGAGTATTTCCAAATGGCTGTCCCTGGTGGTGCCTCACCCCCACTTGTAAGAAGCTCTAGTGTTGTTGACTGCCTTCCAAGTTTCAGGTTGGAAGTGCTTGCTCAGCGCTGTCTTTGCGCTGAACCCTTAATCCCTGAGGGGAAGGTGGCAGTAGCCTCCTTTTACAGTCTGGGAAACTGAGGCCCAAAGAGGCACGATTCTGAGCAGCTCCACAGTGCTTAGAGGTGGCAGAGCTGAGATTGGACAGTGCCTGAGACTGTCTGACTCTGAGGCTGAGTGTTCCGCACGCTTGCGCAGAGCCAATGAAGAAATTGTTTGTAGCTGGGTGTGGTAGTGCACCCCTGTAATGCCAGCACTGGGGAGGCTGAGGCAGGAGGCTCATGATGAGTTTCAGGCCAGGGCGGACTACAATAGTGAAATCCTGTCGTAAGCAAACACACTCAAAAAATGAAAAGAAATTGTACTTTCAGTGCCTTATTCTATATGCATCACAATTTTTTAGGTCTGTGTTGATTTGTTGTTTTATTCTGCTACAATTAGTGGACTCTAAAGACCATTGCAGCCTTGTTGTCCAAAGAGAAATTTTATGAAGTCCTACTTTTTTTCTATGTGTTTTAAAAGAGAGGGCAGGGTTGGCTTCTCAGCAACGCTGCGAGGTCCCCAATTCCCAAATTAGTCACCATCTCCACATTTCTTCATGTTCTGCAAACCTCTTGGTACTGGAAATAATTGGTTGTTGGGGAGATTAAAAGCGAAGTCCAGGCTGGGTGTGGTGGCACACACCTGTAATAACTGCACTCGGGAGGCTGAGGCAGGAAGATTGCAAGGAGTTTGAGGTGAGTGTGGGCTACATAGTGAGCTCAGGCTGAGCTGCACGGTGAAGCCCTGACTCAGAAACGAAAAGCAAATTCAGTGCTGGGCTTTCTGGAGTACACGAAGCTCTGTGTTTCCAATTCTTGGACACATGGTGCTGGTGACAAATCCAAAACTTTGCCGCATAGCAATTAGCAGCAGATCTTCAAGTTGCAGGTGGCCAGGGTGGCCAGACCACACTTGCCCTCTTAGCGAAAGTGAGTTTGGAGCAGGCTGGTGAGGAGTGTGCACTGCTGCTGAGGGCTCACAGGACCTCAGCCCCGTGGGGTCAGCTCTGGGGTACAGGGGCAGGACAGAGTGAGGGTCGCCGCAGTCAGAGTGTCCGGGAAAAACGCCAGTGCTGGGCTCGCAGCCTGTGTGTTTGCAGGCTGGGGGTCACTCCCCTGCCCAGTCTTGCCTTAGGGACAGTATGCAGCAGTTCAGGGCACTGCTGTGTGGTTTTGCAGCCTGTAAGGCCCCTTGATGCACACTAATCCGGCACAGTTATTTAGCTCTGCAGGAAAACTGAGGGGGACGTTTGATTTTCTGTCCGGGTACGCAGCCCTTTTCCTTGCACGTGTACGCCCACAGGTGCCTCCCTGCAGCGATGTTTCCTGAGCACATGCCTTGTCTCCCCAGTTGCGGGGAGCCTGGGACTCAGGCCCTGAGCTGTGGTGTGAGGATTCCCTTGCCTCAGGCTCTGGGGAACTGGGCCCTTGGGACTTGACTGCAGTGGGAAAGGTGCGGCTGAGTTCCGAGTCTTGAGGAGGTGCACGCTTAGCTTACAAACTTAGAAAGCTAGCGATTCCCTGAGAATCACGACGTGGCCCCTCAGGAGCAGGCCAGCCTTGCTCATTTCTGTAATCAGTATCCAAACCCAGAGAGGTTG